CCAAGACCAAATACTATACCAAGCCTAAAACAAAACAAAACGGTACTTTACCGTTAGGTTTTAGCTGGAAAAAACAGGGGAAACAGCTGACCAACAAATCGTATGTACACTTTTGTTAGTGCCTTTTTTACGTTTTTTGTTAATAACTTAAAAAGTTGTTTATGTATAAGAATGAAATTTTGGATTTTGAGTAATAATAACATTTAAAACAGAACTGCATCATCGTATGTAGACTTTTGTCCGCCACTGTACATACATAAGTAGTCAAGAATCAAAACGCCTACTTCCTACAAAGTTACAATGAATTTTCTTATATATGTTTGAATATTCCTATGGGAGCCTTAAGATATAGTGGTCCGATCCGGCTCGCTCCGACATATGTACTATCTGCAATAGAAAGAAGACTTTCGGAAAAGTTTCATAGCGATGGCCTTAAAACTGAGGGACTAGTTCGCATAGAAACGGACAGACGGACATGGCTAGATAGACTCGTCTATTGGTGCTGATCAAGAATATATATACTTTATGTGGTCGGAAACGTCTCCTTCACTGCGTTGCAAACATCTGACTGAAATTATAATACCCTCTACAAGGGTATAATGAAACTTATTTCTGGTAAAAATTTCATGGTAAAAGAAATTGTAGTTATTGAGAAATTAATAAAAACAGGCCGCCTTTGCAAAAAGTTGGCATCACTGTCGTGAAAATGTCCTATTTTTGCCAGATAAAACGCCGGCTGTGAAGAAGAAGACATGTAAGTAAAAAAGTACAACATTTTTGTTTATTATTAATTTAAACTAATAAGCTTTGCTAATATTCAGGGGTAAACATAGGTTACCAGGGCAAGACACCATATTCTTCCGATTCATTCGCGATAATATCGACATTGCCAAAGGATTTACTCAGGGCGACCGCATTCTTGTGAAAGGACCTGGCCATTGAGTTAAATCTCCATGGTAGTCCATGTAAAACCGTTTGTAAGCGTCCTAGCCTCTCGCAGTTTATGCCTTCGCAAGTACTCTAGAGCAGACGGCATTTTATTTCGCTTTTAAAATTCTTGCCAACTTACACCCAGAAAAAAAAAATGACCTAAAATGTCAAAAAATGGCCTAGAATTTAGGTAAAATTGGCCTTAAACTGGGGCTAAGTCCTTAAATGGCCTAAAATTTAGGATTCCATGACCTAAAAATTTAGGCCATAAATGGCCTAAAATGGGGGTAATTTTTAACCTAGATTTGAGGTAATTGGCTGCCTAAAAATGTAAGAAAACTCCCAATCCAAAATTTTAGGCATTTAACGGCCTAAAATTCGAGTAATTTGTGGCCTTGATTCTAGGTTATGGGCTGCCTATAAACAACCCCATGTCCGATATTTAAGGCATCCAACGGCCTAAAATTTTGGCCAGCATTGACCTTGAATTTGAGCCTCTCATTTTGACCCCAGCCTAATTTTTAGGACAAATTTGACCTAAAAATTAAGGTAATAACTACCTTATTGTAAAAATAAATACAGATTTGTATTATTGTCTTTTATTTATTTCAATGTACTTCATTTTCAGTTATAACTAATTAAAATTGTTTTGGCTTAACATAGTTTTTATCTTTAAGAGCATGTATATGAATAGGCGGGTTAGTTATATTCTTAAGATTAAATATTTTATGTGTTCCATATCCGATGACCTCGTACCAATAATAATTTGGAATAAATTGTGTAAGTAGCTCCTGAACAAATAAGTATGTTTCTTCTTCAAGTAAAATAACATCTTTTATAACATAATAATTATTAATATTTTTAAATATAACATATTTTTGTTTATAACGAAAACTAAAGTTCTTACAATATGTAAAGCATTTTGCCGATGAAAAATCTAATTCAGGAAAGGCTTCTTGAAATTGTTGATAGTGAACTGAATTTTCAAATTTACACGATGTTTTACTGTAAATAATACTTGGCTTTCTATAATTAAGAATCTTGTCAGCAAAGTTAAAGTTAATTTTATAAGCTAAGGAAATACACGCATTTTTTCTATTATTGATATTTTTAAGGTAAGATTTTAAATTTCGGTGCTTTGACTCAAACTGGAACGTCCAGAGATATCGAAGCGGTCCAGATTTTTTTATTATTCTACCGTAATGGCTTAAGAAGTGGTGTTTTGGCTTTAATGTATCATTAAAAAGTTCTATATATTTGGTATTATGATATATTATCAGTTCTTCTGTTTTTTTAATATCTTCATCAGTACAATCGAATAGTAAAAGATAACACTGTGCAGCATTTTTAGTGCTTTTTAAATTTACCTCGATGGATGCTATATTTTTGGATTCGTTACGAATTTCCAAGTTAAACTGCGTTTTTCAAAAAGTTCCCCGACGCAAGGATATTTAGCAAAAGGACCTCAAAGTTCAAAAAATGCAGAAATTGGCCAACTTTCCGGAGCTCTCAGAGACAAATGGATGCATGGCTTGGTTCGGAGTTAAAGTTTTTAAAAAGATACACCCTTTATCTTTCAAACCCCATACATAAAATAATTTTAGGATTTTTTTTAAGGCAGAAATAAATTCTAAAAAACATAGTCAAAAAACTGAAAAACATACAGCTGCGGTCAAAATAGTAGCAGTGTTGCCGCCTTGTGGTTTTAAACGTTTGATGTTGTAATTTTTCTTATCCAATTAGTCTAATAGTAAAATTATAATCAATACAATATTACCAGGAAAAGATCAATTACAACAACAAACTTTTAAATACACAGGGCGGCAACACTACTACCATTTTGACCGCAGCTGTATACTTTTATGTTTTTTGACTATGTTTTCTAGAATTTGTTTCTGCCTTAGAAAAAATCTTAAAAATTTTTTAAGTATGGGGTTTAAAAGATAAAGGGTGTATCTTTTAAAAAACTTTAACTTCGAACCAAGCCATGCATCCATTTGCCTCTGAGAGCTCCGCAAAGTTGGTCAATTTCAGCATTTTTCGAACTTTGAGGTCCTTTTGCTAAGAATCCTTGCGTCGGGGAACTCTTTGGAAAACGCAGTTTAACTTGGGAATTCATAACGAATCCAAAAATATAGCTTCCATCGAGGTTAATTTTTGATGCTGCATAGTGTAATCAAGGAGCTCTAATAAGTTAATTACAAATTTCCAAACTGCATCTTCTGAAGAAATCTTGTCTGCAACCATAAAAGGAAAGTGAAATATAAAACAAAGCATTTCACGTGCAGACATCTTTATGGTATTCTTTTGCAAGTGTGACGACTTTAGAGGTGGAGATTGATTGTCAATTTCCGTTTCACCGTAATTTAAATTTTGCTTCCTTATATTTAAAAATTCCAAAGTGAAAACTTTTTGTTTAATAAAATATTTAACAATGTGGCAAACGTCGTATTTTAAAACTCCTTCAAAAACATCGTGAAGGATGTCGGAAGAATAGTTTTCAATCACGGAGAAGTCAGTGAGCCTATTAAAAATTGAATTTTCTCTCAAGCCAAAAGTTTGGTTGTTGCAGTCTTCTACGTAATCAGATTCACTTCTAATCAATTCGACATTTTCTGACGGGGAAGTATGAGTTTCTTCCTTTGACATTCTGCAAGTTCGGCAGAAGTATGTACTGGAAAAAGATCTGCTATATCCAAGAACGCAATTTAAAGCAAGATTATCTCCGATAACCAGACCCACAGTAAAATAAATAGTTCTAATTCCTTCATCAGTTTTGAGTTTGATACCATTCTGAGACAAGTCATTAAGCGTTTCTATCAAACTATAAAAACATCTATCATTTCCAAAAGTTTTAACAGTGGTAGATTGAAATAAGGCAGCACAAAATATTTCTCTATAGCCTAGTGGAGATGAAGGCAAAGACACATATGCAGCCAGCAAAGAGCCTGTATGTGAACCTAATGGGTTGTTGGTTTCAAAGTCGTCAAAATATAAAAATATTGGCATGCGAAACTCATCAGACGATCTATTATTAAATTTGGATTGCCATCGAAGTCCATTTATGAAATTTTTATAAGTAGATTGTTTTGCTAAGTAATTTAAATGGCTTTTATAATCGTCATAAACATAAGGAAGCTCAAAAAATTTTCTTAAATAGAATTTAAGAGGAAATACTTCCGCTTTTGTTTTGAGTGGACCCAGAGTCATCCGGTTTTCAGATCGCAACGATTGTACGGTATTATCAATAGTAACTATTTTTGCTGACTCCCACAAATCTTTGGATATTAGCTCTTTTATCATCATATATTCAGAATTACATTTCTGAAAGGGACTTTTGCAAAAATGTACTACCGATTTAAGTTTATCAGAAGCTTCAGAGCCAGAAGGGATAATTGCCAATATATTTTCAAGTTCATCTTTTATAGGCAATGTCATGAATTCCCTTACAGAGTTTTGCATTGTGATTGCCGTTTTTCTAGGTAACGACATGTCTGCGTAACTCTTTAGGCACATTTTTAAGGCCGAGCTCTTTAGATCTGGTTTTTCAGAGTCATTGGTTTGAACGGAAGCCGAATCTGTAGCATATTTAGATATCTCCGAAGTCGATGTTGTACTTGAGCAATCAAGACTTAAATCTGGTAGGCCGCTATTTAAAATCTCCTCTGGCGCAAAGTTCTCTATTTGAAAAAAACCATTATTACATTTTTTTCGTTCGTTTTTCATATGTTTTATTAAGTTTTTATGGCAAGTAAAGCTTTGGCTACAATCAGCAAATCCACAAGTAAAAGAACTAACAAAATGAAGATGGATTTTTTTAATATGATCATAAAATAAATGTAAGTTTTCAAAAAAGGTTTCTCTGCCATGACATAATTTACATATTACTTGCATTTTGAGAAAGTTTTTAAAAAATAAAAAAAAAATTAAAATTGTTTCAAAAAACTTAAACCCTACACAAAAAAAAAATGTAACAAAATTCAATTAAAGAAAATAAGAAAAACTATACTTAAAAATACATATAACTATAAGAAGCAACCCAAACATAAAAAAACTAAACAAAAAAAAAGTGAAAGTAAAAAGGAAAAAAAAAATTAATAAAATTCAAAATTTAAAAAGAATATTTAAATCAAAATTATATGCACTCATGAAAGTAAGAACTTGTTTTTCATTTTAGGTCATTAATTAATGACTTCACCGAGGGATGTATATCTTTATCGGATAACTTGAAGTTAAAGAAATATTCTTGAAAAAACAACCATACTAACTTACACGACTCAGGATATTTAAGATCAAGGACATAAAAAAGTTTAAAGCAAGACTCAATGGCGCTTAAAATGTTTGTAAACTTATAGTAAATATCGGCATAATAAACGAAAAATTCAGTAGCTTCCAAAACGGTTGGACCGATGCCACAGATAATTGGCTGTAGACATTCGTTACACTTCAACTGTTCTTCGATTTTTTCTTTTATAGCACTCTCCAACTCGGCGGACGATGAAAACTGTGCGAAAAAACTTTGTCGCGAGTCTTGAATTGTTACCTTTACGCCAATTTTCTCGTTGTTTCCCTTCTTAACCACTTTACGAGCCGTTGGTTTCAAGATGGCATGTAAAATTGTAATGGTTGCAATATTAAGTTGATCTGGAAGCAGGGACTTATAAATATGGTAGACCTAAGCAGAGTAGGAAACTTTACCGTCGTCTGCTAAATCCGTTTTTAATTTCTTCAGTATTTCCAGGCTGTAATTTTCCTTCACTCTTTCTTGCGATAGTTGCAGGAACTTTGATCGAAATGTTGACCATTGAGTTTCCAAATCGATGATAGTCTCTGGATACTTAAGCTCAAAATCTCGACTTATCTAAACAAAAATGTATAATTAATATTCATTTTGATAACAAAGATACAGATAAGCTTACCAATTCATGTCCAAAACTCTGTCTTAAAATAGGCCATTCTTCAAGAATTGCGTTTAAGTTCTTGCTTCCAGTTTGAATCGACAATTTTCTCTCTGAGAAGGTGTGTTCCCAATGTTCCTTGACTATATTCAATGGGGCAACATTGCATTTGAGCCAGTACTTTGCATTATTATTATAGTTATCGTTCTCTAAATAAAATGCAACAAATTATTAATAATACTACATGTATTTAAGTTTAAAGCACCTTCGTCAGCAGGCTCATCTCCGTCGTCTTCAATGTTGACTGTTGACTCAAGGACTCTTCGTTTGGCCAAGGAGTTTCTATACCTGCAGCACAAAACACCTCCAGCTTTTTTATTTTTGATTTGCAGATAGTAAGTCTCCTATCAAAATATAATTCAATAAGTAAACACGTTTTGAAACTTAAATTTAGAAAAATATTCCTTTCTATTAACATAATATAGTTACTACCTTCACTTCAGTTGGAAACATTTCGACTAATTGCTCTGAAATTTCTTTAAACCTCCTAGGTTGCCAATCGATTCCATTACTGATTAAAAAATCGCAAATTAAGTTGCTTATCAGTTTGCGGTGACTCGGCTCAAGGTAGCCCTTCTTTCGATAAAGTGCTTGGATGTTTACAAATTGTGGGTATACTTTTAAAATGCCTAAAGCAGAAACCTAGTAGAGGTATAATAATAATTTAGTAATGTAAGGATGAATATTAAAATTCGAATTGTTTTTTTTCTTGCCTGTACTCCGACTTGGCTACTAGCATTATTCCCCTTTTCGCCAATTTGGTTATACCCAATAGGTCTATTTTCAGAAAGTCCATTTTTCTGAAAATTAGTATAGAAATTTTTAGCAACTATAAAAAACATAAACGGACATTTTTATGACTACAATGCTCACCCATTCATTAAAGCGGTTAACTTCGTGCTCAAATCGAACACGCTCCCCAAACATATGTTTGGGAACTATTTCCTTTAAGTGTTCACCGGTCAGTAAAAGTATGGTAGTTTCATCATATCCATGTTCTATTTTTAAAATACAAAATTAATTTTGGCGTTTGGTTTTATATTTAGCACTCTTTCAGCTTCTCGCATTTAAAATCTTTTAATATTTGTTCCATATCTAAAATAAATGTAAGCCTACTGCGCAGCACGAACTGAACGAACCCATACAAGCGTTCATACATATGAAATATATGTATATATATGAGTGAATACAAAAACATTCACTTGCGCATTAGTAAATTTAATGTGGTATATTAACTTATTAGGCCAACATATTAAAGCCTTTTCTTTTACAGTAGAATTTGAAATTGAATAAAGCTACTATAAAGTAAGTGCGCAGTTGCATCTATGAATGTGTGTCAAAACGAAAGTTCTAGAAGAATGCAGATGCATGTATATATGTACATACGTATGTACATATGTGTGTAAAATGGAAAGTTCCGGGAAAAATGAGTTCCTTACTTTTAATGACCTTTTTCTTACAATTGGGAAGTCTGCAGTTTACTTTTGTGTATACTATCCTTTTAACCTGTGTTATTTAGATTACTTACCAGAATATTAATTGATCCAAGCCAGGACACTTGTACACATTCACTTTGACTTTCACGAAATGTAATGCACACTATTATTGTGTATTGTCTTGTGTGCTTCTTCTTCTTGAAGGTCCAGTGTTGGTAATTTCCGTTCGCTATTTTTTGGTCACACTGGCTCAAAAACATAAGCAAACTTAAAATTCAAATTTTTAATTTGTATTTTATCAGCGAAATCAACCGTATGCTATATCTATTGTTACAGTACTCGTTAGTCATTGTAAATAGTCTTCGACCCTTGAGAGAGTATTTTAATTAAGGATTTAACTAGGTTGTTATCGGAATTGATCGATAGCTCAAGAAATATATAAAATTAATTATTTCTTGCGCGGTATTTTTGTGAGCCTAAGTACTGCCGTCCAAAAACTTCAACCAAAATTTTGACACCAAAAATGTTGTGACGTTTTTTATATGAAGTATTTGGTTTTGGACGACTTTTTTTGGGTTGAGTACTAGCCCTTATATCGGATTTTTCAACACTTTTATATAGCTGCCTTATAATAGTTAAACATTATCTTTCCTAAAATAGTACCTTAAATCAGGGACCGTAAATAATCATTATTTGAGATTTTTATTTTAAAAGGCCTACTGAGATTTGTACTAGTTTTAGTCAACAATTTAACTGGTTTTTATCCACTTTATAGACATGAACAAATAACAGTTAACTTGCTTTCCAGATTTGTTGACATGCATAGACCTTGTGGACAATAGTAAAAAGAACGTAATTTTTGACGTTTAAAACAAAAAATCACAGTAGTATTTTTAAAATAAAAATCTCAAATAATGATTATTTACGGTCCCTGCCTTAAATAATTTATTAAATACAAATAAGCAATACAATTATTATTTGGTTAGGATCAGCATCAATATTTAACAGACATAATTAGTTAAAAAGGTTTTCAACTGTTAAATATATTTAGGTAAAGTGCAATAATTTTAAGGCCCAAGATGACCTAAAATATTAGGCTATATGTTCCCTAAAAGCTAGGGCAAATAGTCCAAAAATTAAGATTTTTAGGCAGTACATGACCTAAAAATGAACTTTTAGTCCATTTTAAATTTTTTAGGCTATGCATGACCTAAAATTTTGTCCATCATTTTTCTGGGTGTAGAAATGAAAATAAACCAACGCAGCTGCGGCAAACCGCTGCCCAGGGCTGCAATATATAGCCTGGCGGGTAATTCAGATTTTTAATTTGTTTCTTTTATTATGTACAATATGCGCTTTAAACATATATTCTTTTTGTAATTTTGCAAGAAAAACATAAATGAAGTTTAAAACTTATTGGAAAATAGTCCAAATAAGTCAAATAAAATTCGATAATTATTGAATGCGAAGGCGACTACTATTATATAGCCGCAAAATTGAAAATCTGCTGTGATAGTCCGATCGTAATGAGTAATACACCAATCGAAAGGTATTGCAAAAACTTAAAGGATTGCATACCAAGACTTTAAGAAAATTAATTGGATTGGGAGAGAGAGCGGTGAAAGTGAAAAAGTGCAAATTTCAAAATTTGGAGCTGTTGGGGCCGTTGGGAATAAATGCCCCCTCGCAATGTTTAAGTTGTGTTCCTATTAAAAATACCCGTCCAATGAGGGGTCATATGATAAAATCCGACGCTCCGTTCAAAAGTTATAGCCAAAGATTTTCTGATGAATGAGAAAATATTAGAAAGTCTATTTAATGACGAGTGTAATAATTTTTCGTCACAAATGTTGATATCAGAACTTTGGTTTGTTGAAGGTGCGATCGTCACTAGTTTTTTACCTCGTTAAGAGGTGTTTTTATTTGATTGAATATTCGATATTTAGTGTATGCGTCCAGCCCTGATCGTTTTTTGGTAAATTTTCCGAAAAAAGAAAATCTCTCGAATTCCTGTGACACCAACGGTTTCGGTGGGTTAGTTTCTAAACCAACCGTCCCCAAATCCGTCGACGGTTTCTGTGACACCCCTGATTGTAAACCAGCTGGGTTAACAAACAGCAAGCAAATTAACTGGCGCCAATTTTGAAATATTACAAAATGTTAGGCTTAAGGGGCCCGAGGAAAAACTCCCATGTCTATCAAATGATGGCCATGACCATAGAAGAACAGGACATTGATGTATCGGACTGAAGTACGCACGAAGTTAAAGAACCTCACGCGGAAGTACATGTAAGTCAACATAAAATGCTTTTGAATTTTTTTTTTTTTTTTTTTTAGAAGAGAGAAATGGTCGGCCCCAGTGGTGGCGCACCATCGAGTTGGACATTGTTCGATAAGGTGGACCGAATCCTCGGGAGTTTCGCGGTCCACAACATGGAGTCCCGTACGGTGCAGACCAGTGCTGCCATCACTCAGCTTAAAAAAAAGGACAGATCAGCCAAGAAAAAACGGGAAAAAAAGGACAAAAAAACGGATAAAAGTTAATCATTACAAAATTTAATGTTTTCTTATGTTAAAGTATTGAAATTATGAATTTATAGCACAGAAATTAGATTAGTTTAATGGCAGAATCAATAATTTCGTCATCCTCGGTTGCCTCTTCGGAGTATGCAGCTTTGGTACCAATCATTTTAAGGTACTTATTAGGTATATTGTAATTGTGGCAGCATGATCCGTGTCGTCGTAGGCCAAATCTTTTAACATAAAAAATTTACAATTATAATAAATGTGGTTAAAGATAATTACAAATATACCTTATTAACAGAATTGCGTTAAGAACTTGGTCTTTACCAGAGATACCTGACTGAAAACTCTCTCCACCTCAGCATTAGACCACGGCAGTGTTAACAAATTAATTGCAATGTTCGCCAACTCAAAAAATTGGTCGTTTCCTGCTGCGTCCTTGTAATTCAATACCTCGGCCCAGAATTGAACGGTATTCTGAATATGCTCCCACTTTATGAGGTTGATATTATTACATTGTAATATAATTTTATCAATTTCACTGCTTTTACCTTGGAATACTTCAAGAATACTGGAAATGCAAGACTTGTGCGCTTTTAATACGTTTTCCACAGAAAACAAATCTATATTTTGCAAAATTGCAAAATTTTCCGGCAATCTAATGTGAAAAGCAAAATTAGTGAAACTAATTATGAAAAAATACAATTTTACCTTTGAATGAGTTGATGTATAAGGCATTTAACAAAATCGATGCATTTGGTACGAATGCGATATTTCGAATCTTTAAGTTCTTGAACTTTTGATTCAAACTCGTAGCCTAAGTATAGGTTCCGGTTTACAAAGCGGGGGAAATCATCTTTGAAAATATCGACATCGACATCTGGAGCTATAACTTTTTGTTTTAAGGTATTGATTCCAAAAATGAGATCCCTCAGAAGTTTTGTCGGATTAGAGTCGCGGCTTTGAAAACTTTTATTTATCCTCTGCATATCTTCCAAAATAGGCCTAAGGAACACCAGATATGCTAAATTTTCCTCGTCGTTGTATAAATCTCGTAAAATTTCGGCCTTATGACAATTTTCATTCAAAGCAGCATGGTTAAAATGTGTTTTTAACTCATTCCATTGTTGTAGAATTCTCTTAACTGCACACTCAATTGATAGCCACCTAGTATCACAGACTCTAGGGATTTTTAGTGGAGCCTTTATAAATTACAATATTTTCTTATTAATTATAAGTAAATAATATATTCAATTGACTACTGGGACAAACACACACTTCATATCCAAAGTTATTAATAGGTAATTAGTACTAAAACGAGGACTTATTAGTTATCTGAAAAAGATACACATTGGAGTGTTAAAACATATATAAATTTTACTACCCATATCATTTAAGGTTTTACCTCATCGTTATAAAGACTTTCGTATAGATTCTTATAAGAAATTTGCCTGCTAGAGCTCTTGCAAAACCACGCGTAAGTTTCGCTCACTAGAAACTCAAGAGTTTGAGGCAATGTTTGCTTGCAAGCAGTGTTTACAGCTAATTGCACAGAGTGTCACACACACTTTATTAACCTTAAATTTGGAACCTCCTTTTTGACTTCGGCGTAGACCCCTCCTTTTTTGCCAATCATGACATTTGCGTTGTCTGTTCCGATGCCTATAAGGTTTTTTAATGGTAGTTTCAGGTCCAGCAATTCCGCACGCAGGCATTCGGTGATGCATGAAGCAGTTCCATTTTCAATTGAAATTAAAGTCAAAAATGTTGACACAATTTTTTTGTGCTCAACACTGTAATAAATTACAGCAAAACCTAAAAAATTATACATATTAAAAAAAGTTCTAAGAAGCAATGGCTTTTGTCTTACCGAGAAGTTTTGTTATGCTTATATCTGTAGATTCATCAATCAACAAACTATATTTTGAATTTCCAATGTCGTGCCG